CAGTAAAACTATCTAATACTCCTATCTCCTATTTTCCCCACAACAGTAACTGTGTGAGTTGGGCTGTGTGTGTGTGTATATAGCAACTCTCCAGATATTCTCTCAGAACCACTAACTAGCTTTTTGGACAGAAAAGTCAGGAAAATGCAAGGCAAGCAATATTTGGGATCTACCACAGATTCTTTACTCATTCTTCACAGACTATATACAGCTAATGCTAAGAGTAAACTGAGAAGAACAATTATGAGAATATGCTTGTTAAAAGGTGGAAGGGTCATGGACCAGCTTGTAAGGCCTGCTATGAGTACCAACCAGACCTTCAAGTCCTTTATGTAAAGATCTGAAAAAGGCCAATACTGTACTACAATTATTGAGTAGCCTTTGAAAGCATTTTGTGATCTGAAAAGTTGCTAAGATAGGCTTTACAAACTGAAAAATATTGTTATGCGAAGATTTTTAATAGTGGCAAATATGGGATGGTGAATCAGAGGTCCTGCATGTAGTATAAATCCAATTCAGCGTTCCAATCTCTGCCAAAAAGTTCATAATAGTCAAAGTTCATAGATTAAGAGTTTGGCTAAGGTTGGTTTCAAGGAAGACAACAGTCTAAATCAGGGGGTGTCAAGCTCGCAACGTCATGTGATGTGTCGCGATGTCTTAGTGTTTGAGCTCAAACAAAGGCTTCCGTTTCAGACGTTCCTGCTCTCTACTCAAGCACAATTAATGGTATTTAGGTTGAATTATGGTTGCTGGGCTACTTGCAACTAACAGTCTACTTAAAATAACAAATTCTGAATAGATTAATACTCACAAAGCATATTTCTTAGCAATCTGGCTCTGTTCTGCTCTGTGACACTTAACTTGGAAGCAGATGCCCTCTTATAGCTTTGTCTTTTTCCAGAGTCTGAATTTAGGACCGTGGTGGTAAAAGCAATTCTCCTAAGATCTCACAGCAAGACTCACCAGGATTGGCTTGCCATATTTTCTATTCTTATTCAGAAAACTCCTCTAAGAAGATCACAAATAGATATTTGAGTTGCAGATCTTCTCCAAGTTTAAGTTTTATGCTTGCAGATTCATATTTGCTTGAAGCACTAGCCTCTCACTAGTCAGTTTCATCTCTAGCTCAATATACCCTTTATGACTGTTATCTTGTGTGGGTGTTCTATTCAACTATTGATAAATAATTTGTCTAATGGGGAATGCCATTGTGCCTTTTCACAGCTTCCATGTTCTTTTTCATTTAAAAAACAGGATCTTAGTTGGGTACATATATCTCTTTATTCCTAATCCCTGTAGAGCTTGCAATGATTTTTCACTTCCTGTTGCACTTTCTCAGGCCTCTCTTAAATCTGAAGCATATCCTAATTTGCCATAAATCGTTTATTAGACAATAACATATAGGCTCTTGCTTCTTGTGCACAATAGATGTTAAAACTTATAACAATATCACTGTTCAGAAAATAAAATCATTCCTTTGAGGTACTTCTATAAAGTACACAGTCATCTTCATTGGACCTGATTCATATTAGTTAGAATGAAGCTCTAACGAAACTCATATTAGTTAGAATGGATTTGCTCTATTATTATATTTTGGAAGGAGGGCATTCAACCTAGTATCAATCTCATATCTACAGCCAGCATACATAATTTTTATATCAACATTATAATTGATAATTTATATGGTTTATAATTCAGAGTCATAAAGATCCACAATTCAACAGAGATTCCAGTTGGTGCATGATTAAAAAATACAGTACTTAAAAAACAAAGCCAATAAACTTAAAAATGGAACTAAAAAGGAGGAACAATGTACCATACCCCAAATAAACACTGCAAACCAAATGAACACACTAACAATGAGCTTTAGGGGAAAACAATAACAGGCCTTTAAAGATTGTATTCTAAAGGATTGCAAGGTTGGAGTGAGCCAAACCTCTAGCAGAGATGCTGTTCCAAAGGCAGATGTTGAAATAGTGGAAATACATTTCTTGGGACCCAAGAGATAACAGAGTAACCTTCTCCTTCCCAATTGGTTCATAGATGATAAGCAGAAATACAGGTAGTCCTCATTTACAGCCACAACTGGGATCAAAAATTTGGTTGTTAAGCAAAAGGGTCACTAAACGTGATTGTCCTTACAATCTTATTTCAGCCTTCCTTCATTTTGCAATTTAGCAAAGGTTATAAATGCAAAGATTGGTCACAAAGTTTCTTTTTCATTGCTACTGTAGCTGCAAACGATTGCTAAATGAAGCAGTCACTAAACAAGGACTGTCTGTAATGGAAAAGAAGCAATCCTTCAGAGCCAGAAACTACATTATGAAGGACTTTATAAGTGATAAAATAGCATATTAATGAACTTAAGGGAGAATTTTTATAAAATGTTTTATAGATGGCACCTTGATCCACAAAAAATGTCTCGTATGTATCCCGACTTACAGCCCAAATGTTGGAGATGTGGTTGTTTGGATGCTACTTATTACCATATTTGGTGGTCGTGTAAAAATATAAAAGCCTTTTGGATTAAGATATGGTGGAATATTCAAAGAATTTTTAGAAAGAGGGTAAAATTTACCCCACAGCTGTTTTTGCTAGGTATTGTTACCGATTGTGATACTAAGGAGGTTATATTGATGTTAAATTTAATTACAGCCACAAGGTTGTTAGTAGGGCAATACTGGAAGAAGGAATCTTTGCCTACTTTGCAAGAGTGGTTTTTTAAAGTATCCTATCTGGCGGAAATGGCAAAGATTTCGGCTTTTTTAAAGGATCAATCGCAAGAGAAGTTTTTTGTGGTATGGGAAAAATGGATAGATTTTATACAACATAAGTTGGATATAAAAATATTACTTAGTTTATCAATAATTTATATACAAATTTTAATATTTTATAGATTGTATTATTTTTTCTTTTTCTTTATATATTTTATTATTATTTTATTTTCTTATATTTCTTTTCTTCTTTCTCTTTATTCTTCTTTTTTTTAGGTATTTTCTTTTTTTTCCTTTAATATTTATCTCTTTTATATATATATATATTATTGTTAATTATTCTATTAGTAGTTTAAGTAATGTATTTAGACTTATCTATGGTTTATATATATTTTTTTTTAAGAATTCAAGAAAATTTAATTAAGCCTATATTCAGCTCTGGGAAAGTTGAGGGAGGGACTGGGAGGGTTGGGGTGGGTTGGGGAGGGTTGTTTTTTCTTATTTTGTAAAATTTTAAAAATTTTCAATAAAAAAAAAATAGCATATTAATGGCACCCAAAGCTTAATGACAATCAGCACAATTTATATGGCAAAGGACAGCTTCACGCAGAACATGCTCTGGGGCTTTTTGTCAGTAAATAAATAAAATGCTGCAATGATGCACATCTGAGATTAATAATGGAAGACTAAAGTGAAGGTATAAAAGTGTAAGGTATAATAGAGGAATCAGCAAACACAACATCTATTAGATGTTTCCTCAGATAGTATCCATGTACTTCAGTTTGCAGAGGCTTGAGGAGAATTTCCTAGTCAAAAGACTGCCCAACTCCAGTCAAAGAATAAAGAACAAAAGAAGAGAGAGAATGGAATTTTTAAGCTGCCATCAGCTTTAGAAAATATTCTGTGTAGACATGCATGTTTTATCTGTCTCAATCTTCCCACTGTGGTACAATTTATTTGAATGTAATATTTTCTTTCTACACATTAAGAATGACAATCCAATACATCAGGAGGGAATCCATGTCAGACAAGATTACTCTTCCTATTCTCAAGATAAGATTTTTGAAGATTACTGTAGTAGTTATGCAGCTCCGGTATACAGATTACATTTTTATTTAGTGTTTTGGAGAATAAAGTTATTACATAGATCAGGGCAGTTATTTTTACTATTGATAGGTACAACTGCTTTCAGAATAATAAGCCCTATAAATTTTTACCACTATGCCCTATGCATTTTTTTATTTGAAAAGTAGCTTTGGAAAAAAAAACCCACTAACTATACTGTATAATATCCTAATATTCTGATAAGCAGACCAATGAAAAGCAAAATGCAACCAAAATAATTAATCTGAAATGATTCCACCAACAAGAAATTCTGCAATATCAAATGTTTCAAGGCAAAAACAGAAATAACAATGCAATGAATGACTACAACTGGGAAAAGGTATCTCCAAAAGGAACAGATGCATCCCAAAAAGCAATTAGTCTCACATAACAATTTGACCTATATGATCCTTGATGCCTTTTCCATGGCAGCTGCTACCCTATGAAACCGTCTTCCTCCTGAAGTTAAGCAACCATTCTATCTGCCTATGCTTCCAAAACATACGGATGAGTCGGCTTTTCCTCCAAATGTTGGGATAAGATGAGGCAACTGAGATGTTCAGCTTGTGCCATGTTTTTGTTTTCAATAATGATGGCGTTGATAGTTTAAATATGGTTTCTATGTTGCTTTTACTATTGATATTTTTAAATACTTGTTTGGAAACTGGCCAGAGGTTGGTATAAGATGTCTGGCTATATAAATGTTTTAAATAAATATAAAATTTCCTTGATGTTTATTCAACTGCAGAAATATAGAATGTGGATTCTCAAAGCCCTGCTTCCTCATAATAGAAAACAGACATGGGAAGTAACAGGACATATAGGACAGAGGCAAAATTTTCAAGTCAGAACATGCAATACTGGTTATAGTTGGCTCTGCTACAAGTCAAATGGGGCGGGGAAGAGGAGCGGTCAAGCCACACCTGAGGAAGATTCACATGCTTTTGTGTAAAAAGCAGAGAGAAAAATATGAAATTAAATCAGCCCCAATGCTTGGCTTTGAATGGACTAAACAGATGGGAAGTGCTTGCTTTAAACATGTCTTTATCAGCAATATAATCCGCTATGAGTTGAATGGAATTATCTCAAAACCTTTTAGAGCCACTCTTTCTTTTCTAGCAGAAATGTTAGTTATGAGTTCCATTGTGCCAAGGACAGACCAGTCTTTTTCCAGACACTTACCCTCTGACAGCATGAATAAGTCTCAATGATGGATAGGCAGTTCGCACTTTCAATTTATTCTTAAGGATTAATGCATTAACCCACTCCACATGCTTCTCTCCGCCTTTGACCATGAAAGCAGGGATCCAAAGGACACTGTCATTCAGCATAGATAGTCTGTGCACAAATTTTTCTCTGTCACTCTCATTCCGAAAGCCTCCAAATGCTCTTTGTACAACTGATGGGTTCATGGTAATAAAATCTGATTTAGTTCCCACGTCTGCAGCAAACTCCACCACAGGAGCTAGATTGCACCTGAAGAGGAAGAGATTAATGGGGAAAAAAAAACGTGAAACATTAACTTAGGTAAAAACATGCATGAAATAAAAGCTGAAAATGAAAAATGCAAGGCTATTTCAGAGTGAGTAAAAATCCCAGGACATCTCACAGGTTTAAATTAACCCTGGGCTGAATAAAGCTCTGTCCTCATCATCTTAAGAATTTAGGTGGAGTCCAGAAGCAATTTCAATTTTGCTGATACCAACAGATACAATTTATTTAACTGTGGACTTAAATCTCACTAAATTCTGCTTATTTACTCAGTAAATGGAATACCAATCTAAAGGACATTCCTAAATAATTCAAGTAACAAAGAAAGTCTTACTGTGCATGAGATGCAGTCATCAAACCAAAGATTTTCAGCTGGCATACAGTGGTATACTAGAAATCATATTCCAATAAGAGGCGAAAATGATATAAATTTGGATGAATGAAAACTAACAATACAGTTCATGGGTTTATTTCTCTTCTGTAAAACTATAATTCAGTGGAAATTAGTGGATATGCATCAAGGGCTACACTGTAAGTTTTGAGGCTTATAGCCATAGAGCTTTTGAGTTGTGCAATCTTGTACAAAATGGTCCTTTTATGCCAACAAAGTGCTCCTTTATAGAAATACATATACATATGCAATGTGCAGTTAATTTCAGGATCGATACGAACCTAAATTGAGAATCCTCTAGATGAGCACTTTGTGACTGGATTTTCAGAGCCTAATGAATTCAGTTTAGATACAGAACTATGAAAAAAATAGTTGCTCTTATAATTTGTCGGTATTAACTAATATTCCATAAAGCCTAGAATGCAACTATGTATAGGGTAGTTTCTTTTCCTCTTTTTTATCATCATACTGCATTTGTTAGCATGAGGAGGAACATGGATTAGTAGCACTGCAGCAATCTGCAACAATCCCATCTTCACAGTAAAAAAATTAGTAAGCTTTTCATCTTCAGGTTGCTTTATGCAGAAGAATTTGAACACCACCACCACAGTTCTTGGTGACCAAGATCTCTGCTTTAGGCTTCCTATGATTCAGTCTTAACGGCAAAGCTGTTATGGGTCTATATGGCTTGTCATCAAAGATTAGTCCATTCTGGGTAGTTATTCTTTTAAAAAACAAACACGCAATGTATTTTTATTATTAGATAAAATAATACATTCTAAAGAGGAAAAGGGAAATAAAATCTTTATAAGGAACCATATTAAGAAAGGCGTGAAGGTTTTTGGTAGGAGATTTTAGCAAAATCTATCCTTCTGAAAATGTGATATTTAACAACAGGTTGAAAATGTACTTGTTGAATTCTTGTGGTGGGTGGCCAGCTACATCCAAAATTATTAAAAGCCATTAGGAGACTATCTAACCCAGGATTCCACAATGCCTATGCTGCGGCCCACTACAACGAACGGGCTGTGCAAGAGGCGGGTGAGCATGCATGCAAAGCTCCATTTGTGTGAGCAGCTGGTGTGCATGCTCACACACAAAACTCCATTTCTGTGAGTAGCAGGCTTGCACACAAAGTTGCATTTGAGTGAGCAGAACCATTCCCTCTCCCCTCCTGCCAGTTCATTGAGTGACACAGAATCATTCCCTCTCCCCCGCTGCCAATCCACCAAGCCAGAAAGGTTAGGGACCGCTATCTAATTAGGAGACTATCTAATGTTCTCTCATTACATTTATGAGCTCTTTGTTCATAATATGACCACTCTTATAAGGCAAGTCAAACATTTGTAGAATATAACAATGAAGGGATAGTAACAGTTGATGGGGCTAGCCTACAATGTCTCTTCCAATGATTCTTCCATTGACAATCTTCTGGAACTCTTCTGGTCTCTAGCTATCAAATAATAAATAATCATCATAGTTTTCTAAAAGTTGGGCTTTTCTAAAAAAAATCACAATTATTTGACAGTAAATGATCAATCTACATACTCTGTGGAAGCGTTTATACTCAGACTGGGATTAGAACTTCATGCACAACCCAACATAACCCTTTCATATAAAGAAAAACACCACCTAGATAATGCCCTTTTAATAAACTTCCCCTTTTCATATAAGAAAGAGTGCAAAACTTTGGGGTGTATGTGCAAACATGCCTTAATCAGACCCCACCAATACATTCCCAGACTGATGCAAAGTCCTCATGGCTATAGATATTATACTAACATTTACTTTACACAGGATATTATTATACAGTTTAAAGATTATGACTTTAAACTAAATCTTTAAACAGAATTATACTCAATCTGACATCTAACAGAAATAAATAAGGACTCATATTTTTATAAAACCAATTTATTTTGTGGTTAAGGCACCAGGCTAGAAAGCAGGAGACCGTAAACTCAAGCCCTGCCTTAGCCATGAAAACCAGCTGGGTGACTTTGGGCCAGTCCATCTCTCTCAGCTCTACCCACTTTCCAGATCTGTGGTTGTGAGAAAAATAGGAGGAAGAAGATATGTTGGATATGTTTGTCACCTTGAGTTAATTGTAAAAATAAAGGTGGCATACAAACAAACAAATGTAAATATTAAAAGAGTTTTCAAAAAACCTGTTAGCAAATGAAGTGTGGCAACTAATAACACAGAATAGGCACTCTTTTAGTGTTAAAACATTTTTTTAAAAAATTACATCTGTCAAAAGTAATGCATTTCTTATTTGGAAGGCAGCTAAGATGGAATTATTCTGAACTATTTTTAACACTCACAGTGATGATTTTATCTGTTTTTGAAGGTACTTTTGTTTCTGCTGTTTTATATGCAAAATGCCAAGTGGTCTTTGGATTCTGGTAGAATAGAAATAAATACGGTATCTAAAATAAGCAACCACAATTTGGCATGCTCTGCGCTGAAACAGTAGATTACCTTGCATTGTATTAAAAAAGTTATCAGGGCAGATGGAGTACAAAGTTAAAGGAAGTTGGAGATAGGGCAGAGGCAGTTAACTGGATAAAAAAGAGGGAAAGAAAAAAAAGTCAAAGCAATATACAGAAATGAAATGATATGAGGTTCGTTCTCAGAGCTCTGCTAAAGATGTTACCTAGCCTGGGAACGAAACCAACCCACAAGCTCGGAAAATGAACTTTCACCCTCGTCCTATACCAGAGTTACAGATAATCGCCACTATTGCAAAGAAATGAGATATTGGAGACTTTGTGAAAATGTAAATTATCACTAGGTAAATAAGCACATATCTCTAAAGGAAAACGATTTGCAATTGTATATTATGCTGTTTATATGATATATTATTGTGATATGAAGTTTTAATTGCTCGTAAGAAAACTGTAAATGAGAGAAACAATACAATAATGTCCCATTCCCAGGAACCAGTAAGAAAAAAATTAACATCTGTAGAATAAGTATATACTTATTTTGGTGTACCATATATGCCGGCGTATAAGACGACTTCCGAAAGCACTAAACTCGGCGCCAAAGACGGGGTCGTCTTATACACCGAGTCGTCTTATACGCCAGAAATACTGGTAGTTTCCGGCGTATAAGACGATGTTCTAGGAATGTGGCTCGGCGACAAAGACGGGGGTCGTCTTATACACCGGGTCGCCTAATACGCCGGCATATACGGTAATGGCAATGAGATTTTAACTTTATGTGCCCGTGTGTATTTCTGTCTATACATACAACAATTAAATGATCACATGTAACAAGTCATTGCTGAATCTTAGTTACTACATAGATTTCCTCCATAATGATCTGATCTTAACCCTAACCTGGTCTTTCAGATCTTCAGTAATGCAATCATGTCCACTGTAACTTTCTATCCACATATTAAATATGCATGAATTATATATGCGTGTACATATATGTACACACACACACACACACACACACACACACACACACACACACATACAAATAAATGTAGAAAGTATGTCACTTCTGATCAAATAAACCCAGTTTCACTATGGGCACCTTTTCATTGTATACAGCACATGATGCATTTTTAATGATTTACTGGGTTTTCCTTATTTTTAATATGCTTGTTATTTATTTGTTTTACAAGTGGCTTTCAGCTGTATCTGACGCTTTTAAGAATTAATCTGTCCATTGACTATACTGCCAACTGCATTGTACTTTTTAAAACAGTAGGAGAAAAAATAATAGCAATATCTTTGTTTTCTTTCATAATACATTTTAACACCTTAGCCTGCTTTGTTAACATAATTTAAGCAAATATGAAGATAAGAGATAACCTTTATTGTCATTTTTATACTGTGGGCACAATGGCACACATCAAAAATGAAATTTAGTTGCCCGCTCTCAATGTGAAACACATACATGACACACACCTAAACATACTATGAACATATGTATAGACCCACATCCCTACATATACATAGCAAATAAATATTAAATATTGTCCATCTTGAATATATAACGGAAGGAGGAAGCTTTAGAGTTCGCAAGGTTAATGCTGTATGGAATGAAACTCTGGCTGAATCTGGATGTTCTGCTTCGGATACCACGAAGCTTCCTTCCAGAAGGTAACAAGGAAAACAGGTCGTGAAGAGGATATGTAGTGTCCCAGATAATCTTATGGACCCTGCTCAAGCAGCACTTCTGTGCTATGTCCTGGATGGGAGGGAGGGAACCGCCAATGATCTTTTCGGCCATTCTCACTACTCTCTGTACCGCCTTCCTGTCTGAAGCAGTGATGCCTCCAAACCAGACTGTGATGCTGTATGACAGGATGCTCTCGACTGTCCCCCTGTAGAAAGTGGTCAGGACAGGGGAAGGAAGATGTGCTTTTCTCATATGGCGCAGAAAATGCAGGCGCTGCTGTGCCTGCTTCACCAGTTTCACACTGTTAAGTGACCAAGTCAGCCTACTCGTTAGCTGCACACCCAGGAATTTGATACTGGTAACCATCTCCACAGGTGAATTATTTATGCACAGAGAAGTGTGGATGTGCCTGCCTTTTCTGAAATCAACAATGATCTCTTTGGTTTTTCCAGTATTTAAA